TGTAGACACGTAGTAAACAAACCAGAACTTTCTGTCAAATTTCATAGCCAGTCAACGCTAAGAAACACAGAAGAAGAAGAAGAAGACGAAGAAGAAGAAGAAGAAGAAGAAGAAGAAGAAGAAGAAGAAGAAGAAGAAGAAGAAGAAGAAGAAGAAGAAGAAGAAGAAGAAGAAAAACAAGAGTAACAATAAAAACCCACACAAAGTTAAAACCAGTTTGTTGTTTGTTTTAGTATCCAGAAGCCATGAGTTGTTAACCCTTAGGCTCGATATTATGGATATCGCAACCTTTCGGCCTTGATTCCATTGTAAATACCGTAAATCTGGGAGAAAATGTGGCTTTCCTGCCTACCCCCGGGATTGAACCCGGACCACAAGGAGTACGTCACCCGGTCTCCGCGAAATCCGGTTTAGCCAATTCCGCTAGAGAGCCGGGCTGTTAAAACGAGAAGAAATAACATATTCTATGTTAAAGAATATCATAATCATAAATGCTTTTTTCAGAGACTTATAAAAGAATATCTGGACGCATTTAAAGGAAGGCAAGTGAGCGAACGGTAGACAGCGAAACAAGTGAAAGGAAAACATCAAGATATTGGCGGGCATCGTCTGAGAATGTAGAGCCAGAATGAGAAACAGTTTATTGGAGATCCACTGTCGCCAGCCCTGACTGTGAGACGACACCTATCGGAGACGATACAGCCAGGGCTGCCAATGGTATTTTTTATAAAAACCCAGCTTTGCTAAGCAAAAACCCAAGCAATACATAGACAAAGAACAAGAAAACAAAATTAAAAACCCAAATTGTTAAAAATGTACAAAATGTGTAGTTACGAAACGAAACAAAAACCCAGATCTGAGGGAAAAACCCAAGCATCAGCAGCCCTGGATACAGCGAATGTAGGTCGAGGAACGGCCGCTCAAACACTAGAGCAGAAGCAGCAGCAGCAGCAGCCACGGACGCTGTCTTACGTTAGCCAGATATGTTTGCTCAAGCGCCACTGTGTTGACTGAAGAAAGTTGAGAAAGATGTTATGTCGGTTACAGCTGCGCTGGCCTGCAGTGAACGGGGAAGTGTAGCGTGACACGGCTGAGTAGGAGCAGGGAGGAGTCACTTGCAGCGTCAGAATATGCCGACTGTTTGAAATGTTCTGCTTTGGTGCATTACAAAACTTTTACCCTTACACTAGACGAAATATCTCAAAGACTCCAGTACAGATCAACACCAATGTTTACATGTGGCCTTAGATTTCCCATGTCCTTTATAATTTTAGAATTCACAATTGCACAGGTGCTGCTATTTTTTTTAAACGGCGAAATTCTTTTATCTTTGTTTGACTATTGATATGTGTTCGCCAAAATAGAGTATACAGTAACTGAGACACGCGTGGATTTGCGTGGACATCAATTCACATGTGCAGCGATCCGTGGTTATTATTTTAATTGCCTATACCGTATACAATTAAAAAAATCCACAACACAGGGGAGAACTATTGCTAGAGATGGCCAGAGAGACAAGCGAGCAATGTGATGTTTTTGAAAAGTTCCCGTTACCCACTTAACTGTAAACATGTCGACTGTTTACTTTGAATCGGCGTCTGTTTTTTCATTTAACGCAAATAACGAAAAAAAAAATGAAAACTATATATATATATATATATATATATATATATATATATATATATATATATATATATCTTACAATGAGAAGATTATTTACAGACTGCATGCAAAATGTCAACACCTGAAACAACTGACACCGATCGGTGACTGAGTCGGATATTTTTTTCAGTTGGGCACGACTTTCGGAAAGCATTATGGCTCTCTTCATTGACATTACATTGGTTACATTTGAACGAGCTCTATCGTCACTGACCCCAGTCTCAGTGTGAAGTACATGCGGACAACATGCTGGCGCACCAACAGGGACGACGATGTGAGCTGTCGAACAGTGTTATCTGGATACTTTAAATAGAGGAATGGGAGGCAAGGCAAGGGCCAGAGAGAGAAGAGAGAGAGAGAGAAGAGAGGGAGAGAGAGAAAGAGAGAGAGAGAGAGAGAGAGAGAGAGAGAGAGAGAGAGAGAGAGAAGAGGGAGAGAGAGAGAGTGAAGAAGGAGAGAAAGGGAGGGAGAGTAAACTATTTCCAAAGGGTCACAAACTGGGCAAGCATGTCCGTCTTACATTCGGCCCTTTCAAACATTTATCTTTCATACGGTAATAGTTTTTTAAAATATACAACGCATTTTATGTCCATAAATCGTCTTTGGGACGGCATCATCGCCATGGGACGGCATCATCGCCATTGGACGGCATCATCCTGCATGGGGCAGCATCATCCGCCATGGGACGGCATCATCTTGCATGGGGCAGCATCATCCGCCATGGGACGGCATCATCGCCATTGGACGGCATCATCCTGCATGGGGCAGCATCATCCTCCATGGGACGGCATCATCCTGCATGGGACGGCATCATCGCCATTGGACGGCATCATCCTGCATGAGACGGCATCATCCTGCATGGGACGGCATCATCCTGCATGGGACGGCATCATCCTCCATGGGACGGCATCATCCTCCATGGGACGGCATCATCCTCCATGGGACGGCATCATCCTGCATGGGGCAGCATCATCCTCCATGGGACGGCATCATCCTGCATGGGACGGCATCATCCTGCATGGGACGGCATCATCCTGCATGGGACGGCATCATCCTGCATGGGACGGCATCATCCTCTATGGGACAGCATCATCCTCTATGGGACAGCATCATCCTGCATGGGACAGCATCATCGTCATGGGACAGCATCATCGCCATGGGACAGCCTCATCCTCTATGGGACAGCATCATCCTCTATGGGACAGCATCATCCTCTATGGGACAGCATCATCCTCTATGGGACAGCATCATCCTCTATGGGACAGCCTCATCCTCTATGGGACAGCATCATCCTCTATGGGACAGCATCATCGCCATGGGACAGCCTCATCCTCTATGGGACAGCATCATCCTCTATGGGACAGCATCATCCTCTATGGGACAGCCTCATCCTCTATGGGACAGCCTCATCCTCTATGGGACAGCATCATCCTCTATGGGACAGCATCATCCTCTATGGGACAGCATCATCCTCTATGGGACAGCATCATCGCCATGGGACAGCCTCATCCTCTATGGGACAGCATCATCCTCTATGGGACAGCATCATCCTCTATGGGACAGCCTCATCCTCTATGGGACAGCCTCATCCTCTATGGGACAGCATCATCCTCTATGGGACAGCATCATCCTCTATGGGACAGCATCATCCTCTATGGGACAGCATCATCGCCATGGGACAGCCTCATCCTCTATGGGACAGCATCATCGCCATGGGACAGCCTCATCCTCTATGGGACAGCATCCCCTTAAGCATGACCTAACACAGTTTCAACTATCACTTGTATAACATCCATGTGATCATAGTACATCTCCTAACCGTGCCTGTAACAAAGCAACAGCAAAAGATAACACACGGTACCCTGACACGTCACAAGGTTTCCTTGCTACACATTTATTAACTCAAACAGACCTCTATCTTCACACAAGCACTACAATGGAACGAATGAATGCGAACAATTATGTAACAAAGCTAGTATCGGCAACATCCACTCTTAACTGGAATTGTACATACAGAGAAATATTTCCGAACTTAATTACCGGCAACAGTTTATTCCGTTTGAAAAACTACAACGCTAATACAACCAGACCTCGCACTGTCCGGAGAAATATTCCGTTTGTTTTTTAACCTTTGTCAAGAGAAATTACCAGAATTCATCCACGTACGCAACTTATGCTACATTGCTTATCTTTACGATCTGTGTGCGAGAAGGGATCGGGTAGGCGGGGGGAGGGTTTACCCGTGGTAAAATATTCACGGGAGATGCCGAGAGATTTCCGTCTATCAACTCCAATGGAACCGGTGATTGGCTGGGCGAGCCGCGGTGCCAGGGTTCTGATTGGGTGGGTGAAAGAATTCAAATAATCTGGGAGCGGCCTCAAATAAGTCAAATATTTGGGGAAACTCGAGACATAGACTTTTTTTGTGTGATTGCAATATAACCTAACGGTTGAACGCGGTTTCCAGGACCTCTCCACGAGTGATCATTTTCCGCATGGTGGCACTTTGACCTGTTTACTTAGACTGATCAAAGTGTGGCTGACTAAAGGCTGTACACGACTGAAAGGGTGTACACGATTAAAGAGTGTACATGATTTAAGGGCCTACAAGACTAAAGGGGTGAACATGATTAAAGGGTGTACAAGACTAAAGGGGCGAACATGATTAAAGGGTGTACAAGACTAAAGGGGTGAACATGATTAAAGGGTGTACACGACTAAAGGGGCGAATATGATTAAAGGGGCGAACATGATTAAAGGATGTACAAGACTAAATGGGTGAACATGATTAAAGGGGCGAACATGATTAAAGGGTGTACAAGACTAAAGGGGTGAACATGATTAAAGGGGCGAACATGAATAAAGGGTGTACAAGACTAAAGGGGGTGAACATGATTAAAGGGGCGAACATGATTAAAGGGCCTACAAGACTAAAGGGGCGAACATGATTAAAGGGTGTACAAGATTAAAGGGGTGAACATGATTAAAGGGGCGAACATAATTAAATGGCCTACAAGACTAAAGGGGTGAACATAATTAAAGGGTGTACAAGACTAAAGGGGTGTATACGATTAAAGGGGTGTAGACTAAAGAGTACACGATTAAAGGGGTGTACAAGACTAAAGAGTGTACACGATTAAAGGGGTAAAGGGGTGTACAAGACTACAGAGTGTACACAATTAAAGGGGTGTACAAGACTAAAGAGGTGGACACGAGTAAAGGGTGTACAAGACTAATGGGGGGGGGGGGGGGTTAAGACTTAGGGGTGTACAAGACTTAGGCGGTGTACTAGTAGATTAAAGGGATGTACAAGATGTGACGAAAGGACCTCTGTGGTTTCAGACGTTAGTACTTGTAATAATTTCTTCTGGTTATAAAGAGACAGACAATTATATTTACTATGCCCTTAACGCAAATATTAAAACCACATGGATTTAATTTTTACCAGTCCTTGGGCCAGACAAAGCAACCCAGCTTTGTGTAATATTACCTAATCTTACCTAAGCTAGAAATTTGATTTACATGCCAGTGTCATAAAATTATCTCCTGGCCACAGTCTGTAGGGGCGAGCAAACTGGGAACTAATTATCACACCTGAGATTATCTCCCAGGAACCGAACCTTAGTGTCATACATGTTACATATCACAGACTGAGTGGGGCCTTTTGAACAGAGCAGATCAGGGGAATTAACTTGGTCAAGTATGAAACACAATGGCTTCACCCTACTGTCTTTTCACACCTTTTCAGTTAGATTAGTTGTAAACTAGATTGGGCCACTTAAGAATGTTTGCTCACAGAGGGATGTCAGTCCGGAATTGACTGACAGACACCTTGTCAGCTAATTTGATCTGCTAGGTACTTCTGGGGCGTGGCTTAGATCTTTTCTTGTGGGACAGGTTAGGTACTAGGAAAGGGAGGAGTTAACTTTGCTAGTAGACTGCGAGCATTCCAGAACTACCTCACAGTGCCGCCAGCAAGCCACAAACTTAGACCTACAGTAGAAGAGTATTTCTCACTGGTTGAGTCGTGTTTGGCAATTGCTGGAACGTTTCCAGGTATGAGTATATTATTTTTAATCTTATATTCAAAGGTTAGGAGCTAGCTTAGCCTATTCTACCTATTCCTAATTTGTCTACACATTCTGCTTGAAATAGTTCTTTGTGAGTATTCAGTATCTCAGTTAGGGAACTGCTAAACCATTTATATTTTGTGTATGTTTGTGCCACATATTTTTCAGTGTAGGTTTTAATGTTTATAAAATAAGACTTGTATACTGAAATATGATGAAATTATAATGTTTCAACCATCAACCGAAACATGAGTCTGGACTGTGTGGGGAAGGATGCCCACAGGCATAGCCATGTGGTTACATTTGAGTGTGCCCACCATGCGCTCACTAAATGTGTCCACCTAAACAGGGGAATTATAACCCCAGAGGAAGAATCATGGGTTTATATTATTTACTGTCAATGAAAGATAATATTCAGGACAGCATGCACGTATAAAATGTTTTGCGTGTTCAGCACATAACCTGCGCCACATGTTTATGTCAAATCAATGTCAGCCAGTTGGAAGTCTGAGTGATGACGGACAACAGACTTAGAAAGTCAACTATCATGACAGAACATGAGAGGGAAGGCAGGATATGTTAGACGCCAGTGTGAGACACAAGACTTCAGACTAGACTAGAGAGAATGTGGAACATGAGGAGGAGTGATGAGATATATTTTACTATTATATATTGCATTAATTGATATATGTATTCTTAGTGTAAGTCAAGATACTATTATCTGTGTACTAGGAGATTAAAGGGGTGTACAAGATTAAAGGGCATAGAAGATTAAAGGGGTGAACAAGACTAAAGGGGTGTTCAAGATTAAAAGGGTGTTCAAGATTAAAGGGCGCACAAGATTAAAATGGTGTACAAGACTAATGCGCATTTCCTTTTTAGGCGTGGATGTGCCTCAGGGGTGGGCAACTAAAGTCTGTATACAAATAAGCCAGATCTGTAAAACGGTTATGCATGCACAATTCAAGTTCTGAAATTAAAGCAACAATCCGGAAGTGGACGAACAACCAGAACTTTCCATTGGAGTTTGCAGGCGGTGAACGCGAATCCAAGTGTCACCATTATGAAGACATCCAAGTGTCACCATTATGAAGACATCCAAGTGTCACCATTATGAAGACATCCAAGTGTCACCATTATGAAGACATCCAAGTGTCACCATTATGAAGACATCCAAGTGTCACCATTATGAAGACATCCAAGTGTCACCATTATGAAGACATCCAAGTGTCACCATTATGAAGACATCCAAGTGTCACCATTATGAAGACATCCAAGCCTAGCTATAATATGAACAATGATACTGTTAGACAAACTGTGGGAAGGACACCTTGCACCAGATTTCTCAAGAAACAGCAGATCAAGTGGTTTGGCCAACTCGTCAAAATGCAGCAAGATCAAATACAATCATAAGCGCTACATCTCAAAAGATCAGCTACAAGAGCAAGAGGACGGCCGCGGAAAAAATGGATCAAAACATTAAAGACACTCTGTGCCTTCACGGCATGACAATAGCCAGTAGCAGCCAGCGTTCACTGGAACGCACATTATTCATCCACAAAACGCTTAACGTCAGCAATGGTTTCTGATGATGATGATGATGACGACGAACGGGAAGCAGCAGTTATACACTGCGTGAAGATAAACGGGCGACTACCATGACAATAGAGAATAACTCACAGAAACACCGAGTAGCTGCCCTTGATACCCTGCGCTCTCGCGGAGACAAGCCATGTTTTCCCTCAGCTGAATATGTGTCCAGTACTACTGGTTCTGCCTGTCATCAGTGATTCCAGGTGATCAACAGGGCGTCCATCGATCAGGGTCAGTCTGATGTAGATTCTTTAACGTTTTTTATTACAGAACTACACCCAAAGGGGATTTATCTCGCAGAAATCGACACAATTCAAAAACCATCAGTGTGTAAAAGATAAACAGTGGAACTGGAATAACAACCCTACCCCCCCCCCCCCACCCCACTATGGGAAGAGGTCTTCGCTATCTGAAAACCCCACCCTGGTTGTTGCTGGGGGCCCTAATATAGCCACAGTTAAACGGGGTTTCTGGGACCTCTTCACTTTGTGTCACCTGGTGTTTATCTTTAGGTGGATGCCCTGGCGGGGTTTAGTCTCACTCACGGTGGAACTTACTATCTGCAAATGCTACTACAACTTCAAGCAACCTTCCCAGGAAGGAACCAGCGACAGAACATCTGCACACTTTACAGTGAGGGAAATAGAATGCAGAGGCCTAGGATGGCAAAGTTTACTTGCCAACATATCAGACTCCTCCTGCTCAATGCAGTGCCATATTTTTAACTGCAAGTCTATACGTTCGGGTTTCTCTCTCTCTCTCTCTCTCTCACACACACACACTCTCTCTCTCTCTGTATGTGTGTGTGTGTGAGAGAGAGAGAGAGATCTATAAAATACCCACAACTTTGGTCCCAGAGACTAAATTCGTTTCTAGCTGTTGAAACAAAACTCCAGATTTAAGAAATGTGTGTCAACCAAGCCTGGGCCAAACGTCACACAACAAACTCACTCACACACAGCCAACCCGGATGTGTCTAATGAACATCTAAAGGCCAGATCTGATTAGTTGGCTCTAGACTGTCACATGTAACCTCATTGCGGACTCCACTGGTAGAACCTGGAGTGAATATAGATCTTCACATATTCTAGTTCATGGCGCTATGAGGTGAGTGGCCAGCTCCCTCAACCCCCCCCCCCCCCCAATATAATTTCCCCAAAATTCAGCAAACTAAAATTACCTGGTATGTGTTTTATGAGAGGTTAAGTCCAGCAGACATTAAACATCCCGAAACTCTTTTAGATTCAACCTCTGACCCCAGAAAGAAATGACCCGTAAGCTGCTTGAGATTCAACCTGCACCGCTGTTTTGGTAATTGAGTGAACTACTCACTCTATCACGGTAGATCTTAAATGCTACAATTTAGGCGAGAAATAACATCAATGGACGCAGAATGTACTCACCCCTCACTGTCTGTAGACCTGCTGCTGCCCAGTGCATCTTCACTAGTCCGATGACTGGCTGGAGAAGTCACACGTCCATCTTTCATGGAGACGATCTCCACTAGTTGTCCACTTCTTGTCTGAGGATGTGCCGGAGGCTTGTCTGCCCCAGCTCGACCAGGACGCCACTTGAGAGCAACACTAGAGGCGTCATCCTTAGCTATATTGGTTTTTAGCCCTTGCTGATGAAGTACCGGGTGCTTGTGTCTTCTGTCAGACAGAATGTCATGCTCGGAAGAGCTGCGCTCTCGCATGTGTGCAACTGGTGCTCTGTCAGCAACATCCAGAGCTTCAAAGACTGGAAGCCTGTTATGTAACCCGCCAGACCCACTTCTATTTCTGGTGTCCTGCTGAGGGTAAGTCTTCTCTTGGTTGTTGGAGGAGTGACCATTTCTGACAGGGTCAGACGTTGAAACAGCTGCTGCTCCACTGCCAGCAGTGCCAGGTGAGTTGTTTGGTGTGTGTCTGACACTGCCAGTTGTGGCTGTGGCAGACGCCGTGTGTTGTGCCGGGCTGGATAAAGAGGTATCACTGGAACTGACCGGGTCAACGTCATGCCGTGATGTTATCGAAGTGTTCATGTTTCGGTATGACCTTGAAAATGACTGTGTTGTCGACGGCGAAGATGAGGATGATGATGAACGCGGCGGGGAAGCTCCATAAACTGAAACAATCCCTGATGATGTAACAACGGTGGTAGTAAATGCTGTTGCAGATGTAACTGGCGACGTTGCTTCTTGAGGCTGCATTGGTTCATGTTTGAATGTTGTGGAGAAATTTATTTTTGTTTTTGTCAACTCGAAGGCAGCGGGGATGGCACTGACTTGTTGCTGGTGTGGCTGCTGTTGCTGGTGTGGCTGCTGTTGCTGGTGTGGCTGCTGTTGCTGGTGTGGCTGCTGTTGCTGGTGTGGCTGCTGTTGCTGGTGTGGCTGCTGTTGGTGGTTTTGCTGCTGTTGCTGGTTTTGCTGCTGTTGCTGGTGTGGCTGCTGTGGGTGGTGTTGCTGGTGTGGCTGCTGTTGGCGGTCTAGTTGCTGTTGGTGGTGTGGCTGCTGTTGCTGGTTTTGCTGCTGTTGCTGGTGTGGCTGCTGTGGGTGGTGTTGCTGGTGTTGTTGCTGGTGTGGCTGCTGTTGCTGGTGGTGTAGCTGCTGTTGCTGGTGGTGTGGCTGTTGTTGCTGCGGCTGATGGTGTGGCTGTTGTTGCTGCTGGTGTGGCTGCTGTTGCTGGTGGTGTGGCTGTTGTTGCTGGTGTGACAGCTGTTGTTGTTGTTGCTGTTGTTGCTGTGGTTGGTTCCCTGAGAGTTTCTTGGCTTGTTTTCGCAACTCTGCTGTGTACATGTCCTCCCTTGGCGAATTGTTTTCCCACTGTGTCATCAAACTTTTGAAATCTCTTTTGCTTCTGTCCACCGGATTATCTTCTTTCATGGGCCTGCTCGCTGGAACATCGCTGCCACTGCTTTTGTCACCAGGCAGGCTTGGCGCCATCGATGGCTTCTCGGATGTGGTCTGAATGCAATTCTTACCAGATTTCTCAACAACTGTTGACTGCTGGGTTTCTCTGTACTTCCGCGGGGGAAGGGCTGGTGGTGTTTCGTCTGGGCTAGGAGATCGTGGCGGCGGTGGTGGAGGTCTTCGGTGGAACGCTAAGTTCTGGTAGGTGGGAGAAGCCACTAGTCCACTATCCATGCTGGCGCTGAGGAAGGAAACAAGAGGACACTATTTTATTGCTATAAAAGGACAGGTTGGGGAGGGAAAGGGGGGGGGGGGTAGAGACTGGGTCGCGGCGTAAATTTCGGGGTCACCGTTTGTCTGAATGGATCTCGATCTAGAGATTTTTTACAATATTGACAGCCAATAGTCTCTAACCCTGTCACGTGACCGTCTCTGCCAGTGAGCCTCAGTACATAGCCGCCAGGGAGCCTCAGTACATAGCCTTCTGTGATACTTCACGTACAGGCTGCTCGCGCACTTTAACACGTTGCACACACAGCACAATATAGACGCTCCCCCCTCCCCATACTCGATATGAGGTACATCACAAGATACAAATTCCTGCCTCCCCCACACTCGATATGAGGTACATCACAAGATACAAATTCCTGCCTTCCCCACACTCGATATGAGGTACATCACAAGATACAAATTCCTGCCTCCCCCCTCCCCACACTCGATATGAGGTACATCACAAGATACAAATTCCTGCCTCCCCCCTCCCCACACTCGATATGAGGTGCATCACAAGATACACATTCCTGCCTCCCCCCCCCCCCCCCACACTTGATATGAGGTACATCACAAGATACACATTCCTGCCCCCCCCCCCCACACTTGATATGAGGTGCATCACAAGATACACATTCCTGCCTCCCCCCCCCCCACACTTGATATGAGGTACATCACAAGATACACATTTGCCTCCCCCCTCCCCCACACTCGATATGAGGTGCATCACAAGATACAAATTCTTGCCTCCCCCCTCCCCCACACTCGATATGAGGTGCATCACAAGATACAAATTCTTGCCTCCCCCCTCCCCACACTCGATATGAGGTACATCACAAGATACACATTCCTGTCTCCCCCCCCCCTCCCCACACTCGATATGAGGTACATCACAAGATACACATTCCTGTCTCCCCCCCCCCTCCCCACACTCGATATGAGGTACATCACAAGATACATATTCCTGTCTCCCCCCCCCCCCCACACTCGATATGAGGTGCATCACAAGATACACATTCCTGCCTCCCCCCCCCCCCCCACACTTGATATGAGGTACATCACAAGATACACATTTGCCTCCCCCCTCCCCCACACTCGATATGAGGTACATCACAAGATACACATTCCTGCCTCCCCCCCCCCCCCCCACACTTGATATGAGGTACATCACAAGATACACATTTGCCTCCCCCCTCCCCACACTCGATATGAGGTGCATCACAAGATACAAATTCTTGCCTCCCCCCTCCCCACACTCGATATGAGGTACATCACAAGATACACATTCCTGTCTCCCCCCCCTCCCTGTCGCGTGCGAATGTGCACCAGAACGCACCAGTACGGAGTGAGCAAATAAGACGTCAAAACAATACGTAACGTTGTTATGATATTGTTGTTGTCAAAAGTAGTTGATGTTTATAGTCCGAAGGAGACGGACGTGGGAATCCTTGAGGACGCTTTACCCCGGGATCCCACGGAAGCAAACGTTATATAAAGTTGGATCCTTGAGGACGTTTTACCCCGGGACTCCAAGACCTCAGCAGGAAGCTGGTAAACGTTACATTTTCGGCAGTATGCCGGTATACTTTCATTGCTTAATTCGGACTTGTCCGAGGACCAAGATGATTGTCATGATCTTAAGGTCGGACTGCGACCTATCGTGAGGACATATCATTACATGGATGTACGCGCGAGCTTTGGTTGAACGAGTTGATTATTACTTGCATATGTATTCTTGAAATTAATCATTGCATTGCATTTGTCAATACACAAATGGAACTTTTAAAGAGAGTTCTTGTTCTACTACGGAAGCTTCAGCATTCATTACTCTTGGCCAGTGGCATGTTAAGTGTTGATGCCACTTGTTAACTTCTGACACCCCTAGTCACTTTAACACACGCCACAATGAAGGTCCGCACGTAACAATGGAGGCCAGCCTTTAAAGAATGAGGAACCTCTCGTCACAAGTGTGATACGACATTTTGTCGCATTGTTATTGTTTGCCTCAAGTTGTACACGAAGCACATTCCAGTTGTCACAGTCTTAACATATCTCTAGCTGTGGATATCGTTCAATGTATCAAGTCGCCGCCGCCGCCGGTCTGTTCTAGCCATCGTTGGATCTTTATCTGGACTTTATCAATCACTCTTCGTTGGATCTCTGTGCCACTCTTCGTTGGATCTTCATCGGGACCGTATCATTCTTCGTTCGTTGGATCTTCATCGGGACCGGATCACTCTTCGTTGGATCTCCGTATCATACTTCGCTGGATCTTCATCATAATCAAGTCACCGTTACTGACTGTGCCACTCTCCGTTCGATTGAATCGGATCAAGTCGTCCTTTTGGTTGTACATTGATCTGCTACTTGCCGTTGTACCGGTCGTTATTTTAGCGATTTTTCATCGCTAACATTGCAGTGTGTTGTTTGTACGCCACCCAATTGATGCGTCCGATGTGGCGATTGGTGGGACGTTGTTGCAATCCAGAGAGGGCACCCTACTCCCTGTTGTTTATGCCAGCAGGAAGCTGTCTCCTACTGAATGCCGTTACAGCGTGGGCGAGAGGGAGGCACTAGCCATTTTTTGGGCAGTAAGGAAGTTTACCCAATTCCTGTATGGCAGTCACTTCTTTATCTTGACAGACCATCGTCCACTCGAAGTCTTGAACTCAGCACCCATCAAAAACTCACGCATATTAAGATGGACAATGTTTCTACAGACGTTCAACTTCACAGTTATTTATCGCCCAGGGAAAGAAAATGTCTTAGCCGATTTTTTGTCGCGCACCCCAGAGGCATTGGAATAGGATTGATGTTTATTTGTTGAATTTACATGATATTTAAAATGCATGATGTTATGAAAAATAATTTGGATAACAATAATGTTGTTGATAATAATGCTTAGTGAAGTCAGGAATCTATATTTTGCATGCATTTAGTAATGTATTGACGATATATTGAGGAGTGAGTGTGTGTGTTTTCAAGTGTTCTTATTTGCTCTCTCGTACTGGTGCTGTTTGCCGCGACATGACTCCAGTTTTCCGACCGAGACTACGACAAGTCCTAGTGCTCGGTCGTCCTCGGGAGGGGGGAAAAGCTGTCGCGTGCGAATGTGCACCAGAACGCACCAGTACGGAGTGAGCAAATAAGACGTCAAAACAATACGTAACGTTGTTATGATATTGTTGTTGTCAAAAGTAGTTGATGTTTATAGTCCGAAGGAGACGGACGTGGGAATCCTTGAGGACGCTTTACCCCGGGATCCCACGGAAGCAAACGTTATATAAAGTTGGATCCTTGAGGACGTTTTACCCCGGGACTCCAAGACCTCAGCAGGAAGCTGGTAAACGTTACATTTTCGGCAGTATGCCGGTATACTTTCATTGCTTAATTCGGACTTGTCCGAGGACCAAGATGATTGTCATGATCTCAAGGTCGGACTGCGACCTATCGTGAGGACATATCATTACATGGATGTACGAGCGAGCTTTGGTTGAACGAGTTGATTATTACTTGCATATGTATTCTTGAAATTAATCATTGCATTGCATTTGTCAATACACAAATGGAACTTTTAAAGAGAGTTCTTGTTCTACTACGGAAGCTTCAGCATTCATTACTCTTGGTCAGTGGCATGTTAAGTGTTGATGCCACTTGTTAACTTCTGACACCCCTAGTCACTTTTACACTCGTTACAATGAAGCTCCGCACGTAACACTCCCCACACTCGATATGAGGTACATCACAAGATACAAATTCCTGCCTCCCCTCCCTCCCCCACACTCGATATGAGGTGCATCACAAGATACAAATTCCTGCCTCCCCTCCCTCCCCCACAAGATACAAGTGCCATCGGATACTACCTCCCCCTCCCCCACAAGATACAAGTGCCACAGGATACTACCTCCCCCCATCCCCCACAAGATACAAGTGCCACAGGATACTACCTCCCCCCTCCCCCACAAGATACAAGTGCCACAGGATACCACCTCCCCCTCCCCCGCAAGGTACAAGTGCCACAGGATACTACCTCCCCCACAAGATACAAGTGCCATATGATACTACCTCCCCCACAAAATACAAGTGCCACAAGATACTAGCTCCCCCCCCCCCCCGCCTCTCTCTCCATCCACACACACGAAGCCCTCACACTACCAAGTACACAATTTACTGGGCCCACACGTTCTTTCTAAGTGGCCACATTTAAACGGTCAGAAAGGCACTCCCTGACAGAGCCTGTACTCTCTATATCCTGATAATTATCCGCCCAGCACAAACGTGATGCCCTCTTGTGTCCCTTTTCTGTGAACATTCTATAGTAAACCCTTATTAACACGAACGCGCTTAAGGTGAACTCTGGGTCAGTGTGAACAAACTGTCGGGTTTCAGCAGGGCTGTGTTATTCACAATTCATAAAACATCTATTAGTCCTCAATTAGAACCAATGTGATTTGTTTCGGTCATTCGTTTTAACGAAGTCTTACTGTATCCGGCTCGTCGGGGACAAGTGCGCTGATCTTGGAGACATCCACCAACAGGCTGTTGTAGTTTGCCCGGTTTTAGGGCTGAAAATTTTCACAGGTTGTTTGTTAGTCCACACGTCTGAGGTTGTCCCTGTCGGGAGACCCTAAGGTCAAGTCGCCATATTTATGTCAGACGGGGTCATGAGAACACGGTGCCTACCTTATATTTTTTACATCAGCTATCTCTCGGGTGGTCATAAAGGAAGCAGTTCGCGTCCAGCGGTGAGTCAGCACCTAATGGATCAGCCTGTTGACTGTCCCGCACTCACGAACGCACCAATGACTAGGCAACGATTCCATTATATGCTTTTGATCTGTTATACTGAGCACAGGACACCAGCTAATATTTTTGAAGCCGGCTCTACGAGTCTATTACAGTTACAACAAGTCTGAGTGCACTACTAACCAGACAAGACAAAGCTGCTGTCATTGCCTCCACCT